GAAGGAAGGAAGGAAGGAAGGAAGGAAGAGAAAGAAAGAAAGAAAAAGGAAGGAAGGAAGGAAGGAAGGAAGGAAGGAAGGAAGGAAGGCTGACATGATTCAGTTACCCCTGTTTCAGTATCACAGATTCATTGGTTGTCTTTTTCTGTTGTACAACCATTCATTTTGTGACTGCTTGAAGTTACAAGTAACTTATGACTATTTTTCACACTTATGAATGTTTGCAGCATCACCATGGTCTCGTGAACAAAATTCAGATGCTTGGCAACTGACTCAAATTTATGACGGTTGCAGTGTCCCGGGGTCCCTTGTGCGTCCTTCTGACAAGCAAACAGAGAAGCCAGGTTCACTTAATAACTGGGTTCCTAAGTTAACTGCTGCGATTCACTTCACAACCGCGGCAAGAAAGGTCGTAAAATGGGGCCAAACTCACTTAACTACTGTCTTGCATAACAACCGAAATGTTGGGCTCAATTGTGGTTGTAAGTCAAGGACGATTTTGTACAGCAATAATAATGTATGTACGTATCAGTGGTGGGATTCAAAAATGTTTACTACCGATTCTGTGGGCATGGCTTGGTGGGCATGGCTTGGTGGGCGTGACAGTGGAAGGATACTGCAAAATCTCTATTCCCATCCCACTCCAGGGGAAGGATACTATAAAATCCCCATTCCCTCCCCACCCCACTAACCTGCTTTCCAGCTCCATTCTCCTGTGCAGGGCAACAAAAGAAGACCCAGCCAATCAGCTGGGACTCAGGAGGCAGAGAATAGATGGGGGTGGGGCCAGTCAGAGGTGGTATTTGCCAGTTCTCCAAACTACTCGAAATTTCCACTACTGGTTCTCCAGAACTGGTCAGAACCTACTGAATATCACCTCTGGCATGTATGTATGTATGTATGTATGTATGTAAGTATGTATGCATTTATTTATTTATTTATACTTTATATGGCTGCCTACTCCTTCTAGTGACTCTAGTAGTATGTCCGTCAAAGTATATCAGTCCCTAGCAACGGATTGGACAGAAGAAAGAGGAAGAAACAAGAACCAGTAAAGAATCACTCTGTCAAGGACCTAGAAGTACTTGTCTCAAACGATCTAAGCCCCAGAGCTCACTGTAACAGCATTGCCAAAAAGGCTTTAAGAGTTGTTAACCTTATTTTGCAAAGCTTCTTCTCTGGCAACATTGAATTGTTAACTAGGGCATACAAAACCTTTGCCAGACCAATTCTCGAATACAGCTCGTCCACCTGGAAACTGTACTGTATATCGGACATTAACACAATTGAGTGGGTTCAGAGGTATATCTCGAGAACAGTTCTCCATTCCTCCATTCACAATAGAATTCCCTATGCCTCCAGGCTCGAAATTTTGGGCCTGGACAGTCTAGAACTGTGCCGCCTGCAGTCTGATCTAAGCATAGTTCACAAAATTGTCTGCTATAACATCTTGCCTGTCAATGACTTCTTCAGCTTCAATCACAATAATAGACAGGCAAACAACCAATACAAACTCAAGGTAAACTGCTTCAAATTCGATTGCAGAAAATATGACTTCAGTAACAGAGTGGTCAATGCTTGGAACGCCCTACCCAACTCCATTGTTACAGCCTCAACCCCTCACAGCTTTAACCTCAAACTGTCTACCATGGACCTTAACCCAATCTTAGGTCCTTAAAGGGGGCATGCATAAGTGCACCAGCGTGCCTACCGTCCCTGTCTTACTGTCCCCATTTATCTGTATTTACTCCCTTTGTTCATGTTTATGTTCATACTTATACTTGTTATCTTGTACATGTTTGACGAACAAACAAACAAATAAACAAACGAATAAAATTTGTTCCTTTTTATGTTCATACTTATACTTGTTATCTTGTAGATGTCTGACAAACAAACAAATAAATAAAATAAAAACCACGAACCAGTAAAGAAATGAAAACCATGATTGCAACAGGATCTGGGCAATAGTTTTGGTAGAAGGTCAAGTAAGGATCTTCCAGGAGCAATCAAACAATAGATTAATCTTATACTGCTAACCTTAGTTAATTTGTTTGCAACTGAGAATGCAGACAGAACTCATTTGTTCAACTTATTGCCGTGTGTTGCTGCATACTGTCTTCAGGGATGGTGCATGATAGATGAAACATAAACATTTTAAATGAAACTCATTTCTAATCTGTTTATTTCTCCTTGAGGTGTGCAAAAGGTCTCACCAGTTGCTCACCAATATGTGGGATGGAAGTGAGAGTGTACTTTCTAATCACACTTCTGAATGCTCAAAGAAATCTAATTGGGCTTTTATGATTAGCAGAACACACAAATCTTCTAGAAGACCAAAGTGAACCTTAGATTCAGAGGGAAGAAAACAGTAAGCATTTATTATCTTTTACTTCTTCGGAGTGATAGCTAATTAATTCCTACGATTTAGAGAATAATACCGATTTGATCTCAGACAGAACTTGCTACCAGCTAATATTTCTCTAGAGATGTTTATATTTATATCAGTGATGTATATTTATGCAGAAACCCTATCAATTTCTTTGAAGGTTTAGGACTGAAGCTTATGTGACTCTTGAGAAGCAATCTGAGAAAAAAACCACCATTTATTTTTAAAGATATAGTAAACATTGAAACGCTAGGAGACAAGACTTAATCATAATATTTTCTTTAACGAAAGAAGCCACTTATCGAAAAAAAGGATGGTCCAGGAGGAAGAATCAGATTTCAATTTACAAGCTCTTACTAAGATACCTCAGAAAGAAGAATCACTTTGTTGTAATCATCTCACCAACCTTAATTCCAAGCTCTATGTTCTCTCCACCATAGACATCCATCCCTGGATCGAGAAGACCGATTTCCCCAAAGAACTTCCGGTTTACCACAAAAGAACATCCAATCATAGCTGGCGTCCTGAGGAATAAATGGAAGAAAGTAAGAAAGTGATTTGTTATTGTGGTTTGCTTATATCTTGAGCCACGGTGGCACAAATGATTAGAGTGCAGTACTGCAGGCTACTTCTGCTGACTGCAATTTGGCACTTCAAATCTCACTAGGCTCCAGATTGAGTCAGCCTTCCATCCTTCCAAGGTGGGTAAAATGATTGCTGGGGGCAATATGCTGACTCTGTAAATTGCTTAGAAAGGGCAGTAAAGCACTGTGAAGCTGTATATAAGTCTAAGTTCTATTGCTATTGCTATCTTTTCCAAGAGATACAGGTCTAATTTTTCATGGAGAGCAATAGCAATAGACCTTAGACTTATATACAGCTTCACAGTGCTTTACAGCCTTCTCTAAGCAGTTTACAGAGTCAGCATATTACCCCAAACAATCTGGGTCCTCATTTTTACCAACCTCACAGGATGGAAGACTGACTCAACCTTGAGCCAGTCAGGATTGAACTACTGGCAGTTGGGAGAATTCACCTGCAATACTGCATTCTAACCACTGTGCCATTAACAACAGAACACCTATTGTGATAGAAGTTTAAATCAGCAATAGACAATCTGATGGTTGTGAGCATCCTTGTGCCTGCAGACCCCCTCCTTTGATGCATAAGATGCTCCCTGCTAATTTGAGAAAGATTATTCTACTTAAGCTTCTTTTAATTAATCTAATTACATTTTTGTAATTAAAAAAAAAGTAATGGACAATGTGCCAGCTTTTAACACTATCTCTATTTGCAAGGATGCCTCTGGGTTTGATGAAGATGCCACAAGAATGCTCTGAAGACTTCTCAGAGCTCAATGGTGTGTTTTGAAGGATATCCAACCCAAGTATCTAGGAAAAGACCAAATTAAGTCTGGATGGGACAGTTTATTCCTGAAGGACTTGAGGTTGACCAGTTGGCCTTCAAATAACTACTGTGCTTTATAACTGGCAGGCTCCATCAAATTAGCTATTTTGTGATTAGCTGTGATATGCCTACAAATTCCAAATTTACCCTCCCAGCTCCTTCCCCCACCTCATTCTTTTAATCTCCTCTGAGTAATTGATTCTTTTGTTCTACTACTGTTATCCTGAAGATATTTCTTTTCACGCTCGATGGATATCAAGCTTCCAGAAAGCGAACGCTCATGAGCGTCAATTTTTGTCCACGGTCTCTTTTGTTGTGCAAAGATTATCTTAGACACAGACATGCTAACAATTTACTAGATCTGGATGAAGCTCTGATTCACTCAAGTCACCCTTTTGAACTGGACACCACAATTAATTTGATGCGCTGAATGGAACCGCTGAGCCAATACACTTACAGGTGAGTCTTTTCATGGTATCAAGAGGATGTGGACTGAATCAAATTATTTGTTTGATTTCTACCCTGCCTTTCCTTCAGGATCACAGAGCAGAATACATAGGTGGTCCTCAACTTACAACAGTTTATTTAAAGACCACTCAAAGTTACAACGACATTGAAAAAAAGTAACTTTATGACTGTTACTTATAACACTTATAACTGCTGCAGCATCTCCATGTTCACCTAATCAAAATTCAAATGCTTGGCAACTGACTCATATGTCAACTCTGAAGCTGGTCTGACTGAGGCCATCTTGGAGGCTTCAGTGTTGCCATTATGGTGCTGAGGGATAGGGAGTGGGGGAGAGAGATAGTTGGGGTTTTGTAGCCAAAACAAAGTAGATTCCCCTGAGAACCAAGGACATTCCCAAGGACAAGTGGCTGAAGAGAGGAGGAGTGAAATTTCCAAGCAACTGGACAGCACCTTGACTGGACCATGTGACCGATTGTTGAGGAAAGGTGGGAAAAACTTTTACTTTCAATTAGGTGAAAACTTTTAGAGTTGGTTTTCACCAGACTGTGCCAATATGATATATCCAATAAACTTTGAGGAAACTGCTTACATCTGAATTCTATTTGCTATGGCTGTATTACTTGGAACTTCGACATCATATTTATGATGGTTCCAGTGTCCTAAAGTCACATGGTCACGTTTTACGACCTTGTGACAAGCAAAGTCAATGAACAACCATGTTACTAACTTAACAGCTACAGTGATTCACTTAACAAGGGTGGCAAGAAAAGTCGCAAAATGGGGCAACACTCACTCAACAAATGTCTTACTTAGCAACAGAAATTATGATTGTACATTGAGGACTACCCATGCACATTAGCACTCTCTACTTTTATTTTCCCCCAAAACAATTCCTGTGAGACAGACGGGCCTAAAGGAACGCAACTGATCCAGCCATTGGTTAAACCATAGTCCGGCCATTCCTAATCCAACGTCTTCATAACTGAACCACACCAATTCTTGAGCTGAAACAGAGGGTCTCTGCTCCAACTCTTTTTCTAAGTCTGAATTAGGACCAGGAAATGGTATAGAGTCTTGAGCAGGGGGCTGGACTAGAAGACCTCCAAAGTCCCTTCCAGCTCTATTCTGAATGATTGATTGATTGATTGATTGAGGCTGAATTTAGCCAATTGAACTATGGACAGGAGGGATGTCAGTTGATATGATGCAGGTTTGTTTCAGATTTTGAAATTAACCAAATGTTATTGTCGCTAAATCTCAGTGCCTTGCAAAGAATGGGCAACTTTTTCTGAGACCAGCAGCTCCTTGCAATATCAGCAAGAAGTCCACTGAAAGGGAAAGGAAGAGTTGTCTCCTTGGAGCTGAATTCCCATCTAAGTGTCCACAGTCCTTCTTTTCACTGAAGCACAAACTGCTGATAAATTACTTAGGCACCTATACTGATGAATCTCTCTTTGAAAACCAGCAACTGTGTTAATTCAGGTAGGTTCTATATCATTTTCAGATTTTAAGGAAGAACCAGCTCATCCAGAATTTATGTTGAACATGGTTCCTGTAATAGTATGTGTGAGAAAGACCTTGGCAGACAGGGCAAAGAGACACTGTTTAGAACTAAGGAGACCTAGAACAACCTAGAACTAAGGAGAAATTTCCTGACAGTGAGAACAATAAACAAGTGGAAGAACTTGCTTCCAGAAGTTGTGGTCCCTCCAACCCTGGAGGTTTTTCAGAAGAGATGGGACAACCATTTCTGTGAAATAGTGTAGGGTTTCCTGTCTGAGCAGAGGGTTGGACTAGAAGATCTCCAAGATCCCTTTCAACTCTGTTCTTCTGTCTAGGGAATGTCAGATAAGAGATAGCAGAGCCCAGAGCTGGATAATGGGCAGGGCAAGGGATTCAGAAGACACCTTCCCTAGTTTCTCAAGCTGTATAGGAGACTGTGGGAGAAGCTGTATAGGAGACTGTGGGTGATGCATCCTTGTGTTCCCGCACAGCCTGGATTAATTGCTCTTGGGGGGGGGGTGATTTTGGGGGGCATTTTTCTGCCAACATTTTCTCATGGACCACCAGCGGTCCCCAGCCCACTGGTTGGTGACCACTATTCTAGTCCACCCCCCTGCTCAGGCAAGAAACCCAATACAATTTCAGACAAATGGTTGTCCAGTCTCTTTTTAAAAGCCTCCAGTGTTGAGCACCCACACCATCTGAAGACAAGTCCTTCCACTGATTCTCACTGTCAGGAAATTTCTCCCTAGTTCTAGGTTGCTTCTCTCCTTGATTAGTTTCCATCCATTGCTTCTTGTCCTGCTTTCAGGTGCTTTGGGGAATAGCTTGGCCCCCTCTTCTTTGTGGCATTCCCCTAGATTAGACCTTGCACAAAATGGTCTGAGACAGACTCAAAGCAGAGATATATTTTAAACAGAGGAGAGTTGGGTGGGTGGCAGGCAGGCAGGGAGGGGAGAAGAGCTAAGTTTTTATTATCAATTTCATTGCCCTTGATTCAAAGTCTCACCCATCACAAGGAAGGAGATGGGAAACTGAAAGGAAAGAAATTATATTAAGACTTTGATGTTTAACACCCCATCTCTCTCCCCCCCACACACACACACATTTGCAAAAACACACTGGATGTATAAATCCTTGTTGTTGTGCTCCGATAACCTAGCTTAATTGTCTGTTTCAAATGGGCTTTCTTTTCTTACTCCCACCAACAGTTTGGGTATCTGAGAAACTAATTAAAAATGGGAGAGATTGCATAAAAAGAGCCCGTTAAGTGTCTCTTCCACCCTCAATTCTGCAGGAGTTTAACAAGCCTTAAGAGCTTAAAAAAGAAAAAGAAAAAGAAAAAGAAAGAAAGCAAAGGATGAAACAGAAGCCTTTCAAGCTAATGCTTACTGCTGAAATTATTATTTTTTTTCTAGAAGAAGCAGGTTTCAAGTTCTTCAGATCCTCAGCTTATTTATAAGCCATGTTTGAATATTGCTCTTTCAGAGGTCAGGATGCATTTGACCATGTCTTTTCTAATGTTTGGTTCTGGCACAAGCCAAGATCAAGCTGCAGGAAGATCGACCAGTTTCCAAGCAAGATAAAAAACCTCCTTATTGGCTTCATGCTGAAAATGTAAATCAAGGGTGAGAAATTTATAGCTTCTGGATTGCAAGCAGCCCTTGCGTTAATGTTTGTCTGCATTTCCTGCATCGGATGAGGCGAGCACATCTTCCTCCTTCTGTCCTGGCCACTTTTTCCAGAGGCACGACTGAGGTCATTTTAACAAACGGCATCACTGTTTGGTTTGGTGGCAGCAGTGCCTCAGATAGAAAGTCCCTACAGAGAGTGATAAGGACAGCAGAGAAGATCATAGGAAGTTCCGTTCCCCTTATTCAGGATACTGCTTATAAGCACTATGTGCTTAGAGCTCGAAGCATTGGTAGAGACCCTACACACCCACTTCACGGTCTGTTTCTGCTGTTCCCCTCTGGGAGGTGGTTTTGAAGTATTTCTAGCAGGACTTCCAGCTTCTGTAATAGCTTTGTTCCCCATGCCATCCATCTGGTAAACTCGCAAGATTCATTTTTCTCGCTATGTACATGTATACATCTGTACTAGACTGTGTTATTTCTCTGTGTCATAGAACATATGTGGGTAT